TTCTGTACCTTCCTGCAGTGGGGACATTGGTGAAGCCACCTCCCAGCTCTTGGGAAACGGGACTGAACTCAAGGACCTAAACGCAAAAGAGTTGCTGCAATAATGCAAAATAGCCACTAGGAGGAGCCAGAGCGCCGCTGATGACAGTGCAAGTTGTATTAGACAAACTATTTCTAAATAAGAATCCTTATCATTTTAAAATTTTCCACTATATACAAAATATACATAATTAAAATGTATCATTTGACTATCTGGTATAATTTGAAAGGGGAATACAAGTTTGTAAAAATTATATCCTACATTTTAGCAATCATTTAAGCAAAATAAATGCAGTTTGAAATTGGGAATTTTTCTAAATAGAAGGCTGGAGATTTTAAACAGAAAGAATTAGAAGTGAACAGAGTATAACAATATTTTTAATGATAATTATTTAAGTAAAATATTTTGTGTCATTTACCCAACATACCATTTAAGGAAGTCAAAACCATTCTCAGGAAATCTACCTGGAATTTAGAGTTGTTTTTGTTGTTGTTTTGTTTTGCGGTACCGGGAATTGAACCCAGAGTCTTCCCACTGAGCTACATTCTCTGCCCCATTTTTGGTTTTTTCAGACAGGATCTTGCCAAGTTGCCAAGAGTGGGTTTAGAACCCACAGTCCTCCTGCCTCAGCCTCCCAGAGTGCTGGGATTACAGGTGTGCAACAGCACACCCAGCTGGCATGCATCTCTGTTGGGCACATCCTTGTAGAACCCTGTCGTAGCATGTGTTCAGTGTATAGATTCTGACACACTCTCTTCTCACACCTGTGGCCCCAGTGTGATAAAGCTACTGGCGTCTGCTGTGCCTAAAAAAACACTTATTTGTTCTTTGTTTGTTTGTTTGTTTTTGAGACAGGGTCTCACTATGTAGTTGAGACCGACCTGGAACTCACAATGTAGCCCAGGCTGGTCTCGAACTCACAGTGATCCTCCTGCCTCAGCCTCCAGAGTGCTGGGATGACAGGCCTGCACCACCACACCCAGCTTTCGATTATTTGTTCTTCTATAAAAATAACTTTAACTATTCAAAGTAACTCAGCAAGTTATTCAAGTAATGAAATAGTCATTCAAATTATTTAAATTGTTAAATGAATGTCCTGATTATTCATTTAAATGATTAAATATTTAAATAACAATAAATATGATCATGTGAATATAATATCTTCACTTGAAATTGCCTCTTTTTTCTCTTTTATCTATTCTGGTGGACATATAGGTATTTCTTTGTGTTTTTAATGTTTTCATCCTATATTTTCCGTTTTTTTTTTCTTCTTTTTCTTTTCTTTTCTTTTCTTTTTCAGTGCTAGGGACTCACCCAGAGCCCCCACACTGAATTTTCTACCCAGCACTTTTAATTTATTTTTTATTTTGAGATAGGACCTTGCTAAGGTGTTAAATTGCCTAGGTTGGGCTTAAACTTGCAATTGTCCTGCCTCAGCCTCCTGAGTGCTGGGATAACAAGCGTGACCCACCACACCCAGCCCCAAAGACTGAGAGCAAGTCCAGGGCCATAGGCAAACCACCCCGCTTTGCCAGAGAACAGCGGGGTCTAGTGGGATTTCTAGTCTTGGTTTTTTGCCGAATTGCTATACTGATTTCCATACTGGTTGCTCAAGTTTTCATTCCCACCAGTAAAGTGCAGAATACCGTAGTGTAGGTCATAGAAAGCAGGAAGATGGATCTTTCCCAGGAGGAAAGAGGAGGCGAAGGGGTGAAAACAATTAAGATGCGTGTGCAGGCACGGCCTCTACACAAGCAATGTGATCGCCAAGTACTGTAAACTTGTACAAACAAAACAAAATCAATTTTAGAAAAAAGAGTAAAGCTCCAGTTTCCTAGGGCGGCCCTGGAGACCCCTCCACGCAGCCACGCCTCCTGCGCCGCCTTGGCGGTGAGCTTCCGAGGTTAATCCACGGATGAGAACAGCGCCCGTGATGCGGTCACTGCTGCAGGGCTCTCCTAGTCCAGTTACAGGGACAGACGTATGGCGAGCCATTATGGTGAGCCTTGACACAGGCCTAGCCATGATTGAACTTTGAGTCACCTCGCTGGCACGGACGTGCTCTCCCCCATAGCCACGGGCGAGTTCAGCTAGTAGCAGATGTAACCCATAATGGTCGTTATTGATTCCCTCTGGAATGTGTGGGCGGTACTCTCGCTCCCGTGTAGCCCTCGCTCCCATGCAGCTGGAGAGTATAAAAGGAAGAGGTGCTGTAATAAAGAAAGCAAGCAACATAAGAAAAAAGGTGCCTCCCGTCTTTCTGTCCTCATCCTTTCAGGTTTAGGACCTGCTGGCAGGATCCTGACGTCGCGCCTCGCGACACAGACGGACTCCCACTGTCCAGACCAACTTCTGGAAAGAGGAGCTTTAAAAAAAAAAAAAAATCAGCAGCAGCTCGGGCTGGGCTGCACCCCGCGAAGGAGCGCTCGCCTTGGGGGCCACAAAGCCCGGGGCTCCGTCCGCACCCCAGGAAAAAGCTCCGCTGGGCAGGCCAGGTACTGTGCGCTTGGGGACCGAGGGGTCTCTGACCTCGGCTCCCGGCTGTCGGGGTTTGCACGCGGCTTCCTGCGTGTGTCTCGTGAGACCTGTGTGTTCCAACAAAAATCCCCATGAAGATCTATCGGACACAGCGAGTCGACCCAGGGGGTCACCATCTGCCTCGGGGCTGCGTCTCTGCAGATCTGAGGCCGTCGCACAGGCCTGGCGGTGGCCCCACGCTGTCGGCGCACTGGAGTAGGACGGCGAGCGGCCAGGCGGGTGGCTCTGCGGGGGTCGGAAGCCGGGTCCGCGGCGCTTGGGGCTCGGCCTTCGCTGGGGGGTCCCCAGGCTCGTTTTCGGTCTTCCCTCCTGTGGCCCCTGTGCTTGTCACCCCGGACGCCAGCCCGCGGTCACCTAGGAAACCGCCGCCCCCGCCCCCGCTGGCAGGGCCTGGAAGCCCCGCCCTTTCTCCTTGGGGACGGGTTTGCAGCTGGGCTCTGTGACCCCAGGTCGCAGAATCCCTAGATGTGAGGGACCGGGTGCAGACCTCGGGCAATCTGCTCCAGAGGAGAGGGTGTTTTTGTTTTGAAAGTGACTTTCTTTTTTGGGGGGATGGTCACTTTGTGCAGGGCCTGGCGTTTCAAAACTTTGTCGTTTCTTCTTCCCAGAGAGCCTTCAGCTGAGCGCTAATCTTGAGGCCCGCTGAGAGGACGAAGACCTGGGGCCTAGTTAAGCTCGAGTCAGTTTAATTACAATTTTTTTAAAGGGCGGGGGAGGAGAAGGCCAGGCCGAGGGGGCAGACTGGAGTCTTCGTGCCACGCCTCCGGCGACATCCGCCCCGCTGTGGCGCGGGGCCTGGGGACGAGCGCAGGGCCGCCACTGTCCGCAAAGTGCCTGGGCACCGCGGGTGCCTGGATCCCCAGGTTCCTGCTTCTCACGGTCACAGCAGCTGCGCCGACCTGGGGTCCCGGTGTCTGGAGCGCCTTCACGCTCACCCCGAAAGCCGCGTTCAGATGGGGACCAGAGCAGCGACGTGACCTGTGCAGGCCACGCTGTCCGAGACCCTGCCACACGGCGACCCACGCGGCTCAGCCAGCAGGGGCAGCTCGGGACTGTGACCTGCGCTGGGGTGCAAAAGTCCCCGTCGCCCTGCCCCGTAGGGAGGCTTCCCCCACCCCGAGCCCCTGGGGTGCCCTGGAAGCAGCAGGGTGACAGGAGAAAGGCCGCAGGAGCTTACGGGGGTCACAGGACAGAGGACACCGCAGCCTGTCGAGGGCCAGAGGCCGGTGCACCCTTGTCCTGGGGGTCGGTGACTTTGGGGGGCCGAATAGGCCAGGAGGACAGACAAGAGTCTGTGAGTGGTTCTCTCTGGAAGGCTACAGGGAGCCCCGGAGAGGACACCAGTGTCAAAAGAGTGACAGTCAGGAGGGCGGAGACAGGCTGCTGTGGGGTGAGGCTCCCCAGGGCCTCTTTCCTGGGGAAAAATCAGCAGAGCGGAGTGGCAGGTGGTGCTGCTTCTGGGAGCTGTTTCCCCTCCACCGCCCCTACCTTGGAGCCAGCCAACTGCAGACAGAGAGATCTAGACTGAGCCGTGCAAACCGCCCTCCTTCGATGTGTGCGCGTAGGGTGCTCTGTCCCAGGAAGGAGAAGGTGAGACAGACCAATGGCGGGAGCAACAAAAGCAAAAAACTTGACAAATCCAACTTCATCAAACTAAAGAACCCCTGAGCTGTGACCGACTGCAACCAAGAACACAAGACACACGCTGAGTGAGGAGACACCTATAATTCTAGCCCTCTGCAGGCTGAGGCAGGAGGATGGCAAATCTGAGCCTAGCTGGACGAATTAGTGACATGGCAAGACCCTGCCTCAAATTAGAATAAATAAATATATAAATTAGGGCTGGTGAATAGCACGAAGGGCCCGGGTCCCATCCCCAGCAGTGCGCATACACACACACACACTGAGTAAAAACAACACACAAAGTTATCTGTATTAAACACCTCGCAGGAGTCAGGAAAGCCCAGGCCACACAGGGCAGGGACAGGTGCAGTGTGATGGGTTACGGGAATCAGAGGGAGGAAGTGATGCCCAGGTGGGGAACCCTCAGGGGTGCCGGTTGCCACCCTTTGCAAACCACACTCACTGCCCCGTGCTGGTTGTGAGCTTCTTTCCCTTCACTTCCTGCTGGCATCGAGGCCTTAGCATCTGGATGGTGTCCTGGGCAGTGTCCACCTGAACCCAGGGCTTTGGACAAGGTCCAGAGCTCCGTGGAAGAAGGCGACTACATCAGCACCCTCATTTTAAACCAGAAGGGCTCAGGCACGGGGAGGGGAAGAAACAGCGGGGCTGAGCTGGTGCCTGCAGGTAGCAGAGTGGTGCTATGCACAGAACTCCAGAGGGCAGGGAGGCGGAGGGAGCCAGAGGGAGGACCAGAGGTGGAGGCAGGGAGGAGAGAAGCCCGACACAGAACTTCTGGAGGTGATGGATAGGTTTATTATCTCTTTCATAGGCTTCCTTTTCCTTTCATCTTTTTATTTTTCTTGCCCATCTTTTTACAAAGCTAGGGTTGGAACCCACATGCTGTCCAGAGCCCCACCCCAGCCCCACAGCTGATCTGCATGGAGAAATGTGTTCCCTGGTTCGACTCAGGGGTGAGTTGTCCCTGCAGGCCCACGGCACAGAGCTGGCCAAGCGTGTGGGAGGCCGCGGGCTCCGAGATGAGCACCAAAGGGAGGAGAGCCTTTGCTTTACGTGCATTTGTTCCATCAGGCTCTGCAAGGGTGTTTTCGAGGCAGGGCACCAAGGAATCTAAAAGTGTTACAGGGCAGCAAGTTGTCTGATACAGGCGAAAATAATAGAAACAAGGGAAGTGTAACTCACAACGTGCTGGATATCTGGGTCTCGAGTTCACGTTCTCTAAAACTGAAGAACGAACTCTAGAAAAGACAGAAGTTAAGAGCAGGAAAAATTAGGGCCAGGACATGTGTAGACACAACTCCCCTTTTGTCTCCGGTCACAGCTAAGACCCCAATGGTCCCTCGATGCTGTGACGTGACACTCCAGGGAAGGGTTACATTAGCTGAAGCCGTCCTAGGGAGGGACAACAACACAAGTGCCTCTTCTACCTACGATCTTCATCTGTGAAAGTTCCTCATCGTTCTAGGATATCACAGCCACCCTCTGAGTCCTCTGTTACTCCGGATGCACTGAATAAAGGTGTGGTGAGCTCAGGGCCCTTCATCTTCGCTACCTGGAGCAGCACTGATCAGGCCCAAAGCTCAAAAAAAAAAAAAAAAAAAAAAAAAAAAAATTCAGGGCCAGGGATGTAGCTCAGTGGTGCCACACCTGCTTAGCAAGTACAAGGTCCGGAGTTCAATCCCTGATACTGGGGAGAAAAAAGAATAGGAAAAATTTATTGAGAGAAAGATAGCTTCTGCCTAAGACAGAGTGAGGACCAGAAAGTAGGTCTGTTTTTCAAAGGTATTTTACAGGGCAAAGCCATGAGGTGAGGTGGGTACAAAGTGGGACAAAACTACAAGATCCAACGGAAAATCACCAGGTGGGCATGAGGTGGGACAAAACCTTAATAAGATTACAAACACAGCCACCCAGGTAATACTGATTAAATGAGCATTAAATGGGAAAATAAGTCACATAGCAAGCATACAAGGACTTTCCAGAAAGGAAATAAGCTAGGGGGATTGATGCCTCTTTAGAGTATTAATCACTGCAATTTATTCCCAGGGGAAGTAAATGGGCACAGTACTGTACTTCTTTTTCTAATGCTAACCAGTGCCTGTGTCTTGATTGTCTTTTGTATTGGCTCATCTGGGGCTGGCCCTGTCTACCCAACTGTGGGATACCTAATTAACTTACCTATCTACACTACCCCCCCAAGAAGTACATCTAACTGCTGTGAGGGGACAAGGGGTTCTGGCTACGGAGTTGTGATCTGCACTCAGAGATACACCACAGAGGGTCTGCCTAAAGGTCCTTGACAGATGCTAGGTGTTCTCATCCTGGGTAGCCCTATAGCTTTGAGTCTGGAGGAGACAAAGCCAAAGGAAAAGTTAAGAATACATGGGCCAAATAATATCAGCAAGACTGTTATGAATATGGCCAACAAGCATTTCCACCAGGAGGAACCAGTAATCGCCTCCCACAAAGAGGATAAAGAGAAGGTCCAGGGTATTTCAGAGTCTGACATAGCATTAAGAAATTAGAGCACGTATAATCTATGCATGAACACTAGAATGGAAAGGCAGGTTGAGGGAAGAGTCACACTTAGAAACAGAAATAGTGATGGTAACCTGCTGGCTCTTGGACACTTATTGATGGAGATTATAAGTCTGTAATTTCATCATAAGTCTCTCTAGTTTCAGCTGTAAGAAGATAGAGACAATGTGAAAGAATTTTGGCTAAGAAATTAAAAACTTTTGTTGAGCGCTTATATATTTTACCGTAGTTTTTAATGACCAATAACAGTGGTCAGCTGCCAGTGTAGCTGGAATCTACTAGAAGGGGTCAGTGAATGAAGCCCCTTTTTATATCTAGCTTGATTATTATGGTCATGACTTAATATTTTAGTTATACTCTGCTACTGGGTGCTTAAGACCAAGTAAAATGGGACCTGTGTCAATCAAAACTAACCTCTTGCTATCTATCAAGGTCAGTTACGCCTCCTCAGGCATTATTTTGGAACCATGAACAGAGCCTCTCAGCTCCTCTGTCAGTGTCAGCCCTCCCGATGGGTCACGGACTTGACGACTGTGTTGCTTTTTGGTAAAAGTGTGGGAGACTTTTCCCTCTTGATGACCCTCTCTTGGCACACTGTACAATTGTTGATTTGGCATCCAGAAGTCTCTCTGTTCAGGAGGTTGGGAGACTCACCAAAAATGTAGAGTCCTGTAAAAAAGATTCTCATGTCCTGGATCTTTGCTGACCTTGGAGGGCCAACGCCAAAATATTGGCTATCCTCTTAGCCCAGGTGTCTTCTAGTTTTGGTCTCCGAACTTTAGTTATTGAACACCCAGAAGAGAAGAAAGCAATATCAGCATTGTAGTGGGAGTAGTGAGCTTAACTATTATAATTTTACCTACATATAAAGCACTTTGAAATATATAGTTAGAGGACTGTTTTGGGTTTTTTTTTTTTATCAGCCATGATTGTTCTAAAAGTTGAATCCCTGTAGAATGTTTTTGTTTTGGGTTTTTGTTTTTTGAAACAGGGTCTCACTATGCAGTTGAGACTGATCTGGAACTCACTATGTAGCCCAGGCTAGTCTTGAACTCACAGCGATCCTCCTGCCTCAGCCTCCCGAGCACTAGGATTACAGGCATGCACCACCATGCCCGGCCCCTGTAGAATGTTAACAAACAACATTTATATATTATATAGAGAAATTTAAGGTCAAGAGCCACACATAGTATTTTAGCAAGCCAATCATGATATTATCTTTGTAACACACTTAAATGTCCATCTTAGTATAGAATACTCTTTAGGTCAAACACCTCCATGTGATTACAAGTCATTAAATGACACAAAGAAAACTCTAATTTATCCTTTAATAGGATGTCATCTAAAGAGAACATACATATTGGCCTATAAATGTATCTTAGAAGTTTATAATGTCTAACCTTTAATTTTAGTTGAGTGACCTTGTTTGGACTATTTGGTGCCTGAGCATCTCTAAGTGCTGTGACACATATAACATATACATCACATCATTTCTTAAGAAAGACTATTATTTGACTGGCTATCTCATGCTAACTTGACATGTACCTCTTATCACAAGTAGCTGGAGCACAAGAGAAGGGCAGATACCCAAGTCAAAACAGATTAATACCACAACCAATATCTTAGAAGATCTGGAAGGCATGAATGTATTCAGCACACCATGAAACAACAATGAGTATCATAGTTATATGAAACCCTTCATCCATAAATTTAGTTTTGCACCAAGAACATTTTTTTAATAAAACCTATAGTTTTCCCTTCAGAAAACAGCCTTTTGACAATGACTGATGTGAACATAGCACAATAATATGTTTAGCAATGTTTATTGGGGTATATCTCCCATAAAGCTATGGAAATGACTGGGGTTCCCCTTGTGAAAAAATGCTGGAACAAATATTTACAGGCAGCTGCTCCTTTGCGTGTGTGTGTGTGTGTGTGTGTGTGTACCAGGAATTCAATTTGGGTCCTTATGCTTGTGAGACAGGCAGCGGCACCACTGAGCTAAATCCCTGCCCTGCTGCTCCTTTATTTACCAAGGGGAGTCCTACCCAGTAGTTTTTAAGCCCAAGGGTCTTTATTTAATCACCTTAACAAAATTTTGGATGTCCTATGAGAAATGCTGCAACAATTGTCATTTATTTTACCAGTAAAGACTCCTGAGTTATTATACACAGAAAACAATATGTTGTATTTGTAAATCCAGTATTGACTTCATTTTGATCAGCTAGCTACCTGAGTGAAAGCATGTCTTTTAACTTCAATGACATTTATCTATAAGCCAACTTGAGTTACAGGCAAACATCTTTGAAAAAAATCCAAAAAGGCAAAAAGAAGAAAAAAATGTTGAGCTCAAACAAAACAGCTGTATGCACTGTAACAAACTGAACAGACACACCCAAGATGACTTGGTTTTTGGACAAATTGAATTATTATAACCCTTTTATATGGTTAAGTTTGTAATTATAAATAAGACTAGTCAGAGCATTTTTAGATCAATTACCAGATATCTCTTATAATAAAAATCAGAAGAAGAAAAAAACACCTGTGAAAGCAAAGATTTTTTTTTTTTTAGATGGGCCTTAGGCTGCTGGTTTATCCAATTGGAATATCAAGTTACACAGGCTTTTTATTGTTGCTTTGATAGCCATAGTTGTTTAACAGTCACAGCTGATAGCCAGAACTGCTGCTTGATAGAAACATGTAAAAGTTTCCTTTCAAGGGAAAGACTGTCAAAAGGTAATTTTAACTACTTTCAGGGGGTGTGTTCAGGAGAGGTTTGGGGTAGCCTTTTTCAGATCGTTCGTTAGGATATCTCTGAGAATAGTAGCTGGTCTGGCAAGACCACTTGGGAGAGAAATCATGACAATAGTGGCAGTCTTCTAGGGATTGGGGCTGTGTCTATTTCTTAATACCTGTTTCTACTTTAAATTGTTATTAAACTTATAAAGTTCCCTAGGAATATTTGGTTCTATCAATGAATTTATCTGTGCTATAAAAACAAGTCAGCATCACTCTTGAGGGAAGTAATAGGAGTTAATCTCCAACTTTGCCTATGGACTGAAAGGCAAGTAAATTTCAACTAAAACCTTTATATTTACTTTTTGAAAGTTTTAGGATTAAACCTAGACCCGTTTTTTAATATGGCCCAGAGATAAGTGAAGGTCAGCTTTACTCTGGAAGGGTCCCAGGGAGGCGAAACTCACCATTCCGGAAGCTTGGTCCTAAAATTCAGCAGCCACAGAGGAGGAAAGTGCTTTGAACTAAACACTGTTTAGAACTGCATTTTTCTAAGGAACCAGAACAGTGGAGAAGGGACAGAAGAGTGACTCTAAGTATGGCACAAGAATTAAATCTTAACCATCCCAGGTGTAGAAAGACAATTAATACCAAGAGCTTTCCCAGAGTGAGTCTGTAATCCTTAGCAAAACACGCCTCCAGGGACAAAAGCTGTGATTGACTCCAACTGCACTGCCAAGAAGAAAATTAAACCAGTAATCAAAGGACCTGAATGGCTGCTATTTTGTCTCTTGAAAGAGAAAGAGGAAAAATAAAGTGTTCTAACTATATTACTCAGAATCATGATATCTAACTTATGACTTAAATAGGCTGTTGAGCAGGTCCCTGCTCTTTTAAACACTCCCAAAACCATGTCCCACCTTTTATTAACATACAAACTGAAACGGCGTCTTCTAGGCAGGTTCAGTGCTGAGGCATTTAGAAGCCCTTGTTTGAGCTCCTGGAATGTGGTCTGGGAATCAGGCTCCCAGGTTAAAAATGACTATCTGTCTTTTGGGTTTTTTATAAGCTGATAAAGGTGTTGCACAATCTCATTATATCGTGCTATCCAAAGGTGCCAAAAACCTGTACTTTTTAGGAATCTCCTTTAGCTGTTTTAGAGTCTTGGGCTGCAGGAGGGAATTGTTTTAATTCTTCCCCCAGTCTTCAGGTTCACTTAGATATAGTAAGGCATAAATACTTTGCCTCAAAGCTGTAAAGTTGGACCTTAGATCTAGAAATCCTATAAGCCCGGTTTGCTAGGAAATTTAGTAGAGCATGGGTGTGTTGGCTAGAAAGCTCTTCTGAGGGTGAACATGACAATATATCATCTACATATTGTAAGATCGTGACCTGGGAAAAACTATAGTATTTTCTTTTATCAAATCAGAAGGTAGGGATGTCCTCATCTTTTTCCTCACAGCTCACAATTTAAAACAACTGACAGGCTTTAGTTCTCATCTTTTTAGACCTTTAAGAATATATTTCTTGGGCTGGAGATTTAGCTCATTGGCACCTTGCCTGCCTCACAAGCACAAGGGTGAGTTTGATCCCTGGTTAAAAAAAAAAAAAAAAAGGAAGGAAGGAAGAAAGAAAAAGAATATATTTCTGAATGTGTCTTTTATTTTAATCTCCTGACTGATTTTCCTATGGCTTACATTCACATTTTGAACACAAACAAGGATTACTTTTTAATGCAAATAAAGTCTGAATGTAAGGCAATTTTGACCATGTTCTCTCTTTCTGACAGTAAGATTCTAGTTATGAAATAGCATCATAATTAATACTTGCCTCTGTATTTCATTTTGGCTCTGGGGGTAAGCCCACCAAGTGTAGGTGCAGAAAAATACTAAACTGCTCTTTCTTAGTATGTGAGGGTGGAATATTTTCCAATGTTTAAGAATACGTTTGAAAGGAGTAAGAGGTTAAATAAGAAACAAAACAGTGTCCCTTAAGTCCCTTCTCAATTCCTCAGGGCATCCCCCAACGTTCTTCCTCTCCAGGGCAGGTAGCTACCAGAGGGAGAGAGACCCACAAAAGAAAACAGACTGAACTATCTACCCTTTTACCAGCACAAGATCTTATCTTCCCAGAGAGGTACTCCCAAAGCACAAGTTACCATCATATTTAGAGGAGGAAACACTGCTAGCAAAACCAATCTGAGCCATTACTTTCTAAATTTTTGAAAGAAAGAGGAAAATAGGTCAACAGTCAAATTAGAGCACTTTTTGCCTGCAATAGAGATGGGTAGGTCAGAGATTCTGCCCTGGGCCTTAGGGTGGAGAAATCTCCGCAATATTCCTGTCATCTATTTAGTCATCTAGGCAAACTTCACTAGCAGCAAAACAAGGCTACTCCTTTAAGGTCCATTTTAAATTCACTAAGTATTTCAAACTCACAGATCTGCCTAGCAGCCACAAATTACTTGTTAGTAAAAACACCTGTATTAGTTTCTCATGCACAAATGAAGAGAAAGGCCGACCAAAGTCTCCTTTAATTCTCGTTAGCATATAAAAACACACATGCAGGTCACCAGCTGATTGCTATTTTCCCCTGTGTAAGACAGAACAGTTGCTGCAAGTTGCCTTAGCCTGACTTCCTGCAAAGAGGGGTGGTCTGACTACAAGGAATTCTAAAGTCAACTCCCAACAAGTTGGAGAAAAGTTTAAGGGGAGTTTCTAACTCACTGCAGAGAGGGAAAAGTCCAAATAAAGTTTAAATATATATATAAAAAAAAAATCACCATATAGCACTCTACTAGTCTACAGTCAAAGTTCCAGAGCCCACAACCTATCAGTAAAGGTATTTTTTTCTCCTGTACCTATGTAAATGATGAAGACCAGACCTAGGAGAAGAGAGAGGAAGCTGGGATCCTCTTTTAAACTTGATAGAGATCCCTCCTTTCTGAGTTTTACATGCTGCTACAAGGAAAGTGTACAGGGGCAGGGACACCAGAAATGAGACCAGGAAAAGGAAGTCTTTTCTTCTCACTCTCACGGGGAGTGTTACTGAGACAACTCTGCCCTGATTTGTCACTCTCACCCTGGAAATGCAAGAATGGGGAATCTCAAGAGCTAAGGCTGCCTCCCCACCGGCGGAAGATCAGACCAGAAAGGAAACGGAGGCAGGACAGGCCCTACATTGTCTCTAGAGTATAAAGAAGGATTGAATTGGAATTCTCAACGAAACCTGTCCCCCAAGTAATCGATCTTTCATCTTCTAACTGGTTGTGGATGGGGTCCCATTATTTATTAATAGGCACGTATATTTCTTAAATATAATGTAGATTTCATAAAAGACCCATTCTACAGCATTTTCTAGGTCATGCTAACACCCTCTTTCCTCCTGCTGTTGTCTAACAAAACAAAGAACATAATTTCAGCAATTAAGTCCAAATGCAACATATACAAAATGAAAATGAAATGTAATTTTAACAATGGACAATGCATCATAAGAGAAGAAAGCAATTTGCAAACATATGACATACAAATTAAAATTTAAGACAATTCTGAAACAAAAGCCAAAACTCTATGAAACAAAGACCAGAATTTATGAAACTAAAAAATAAAATCTATGAAACCAAAGGCCAGAGTCTATGAAACAAAAAAGAATTCACAAAACAAGAATCAGAACTTATGAAACAAACAGAGAAGCAAAAAAAGACTAGAAAGTTAGAACCTATGAAACAAAAGCAAATGCTTATTTCCATCCAATGATCTTAGTGGAAGACCTACAAAATGATACAGGGCAGAAAGTAATGCCCATAAGCAAAAAGACTGTTGCAAACCAGTCTTCGATCTGTAAAGTTATTGTGTGTATACACTGCTCAGGGGGTGTCCATCCCAAGTATTCAGTAGAAGTAGGCCAAGGAGAATAGGAGTGATTTCTTTATTCCTAACATATGGGGGCCTTTCTGCAAAGGTGTCCTATAGTGGAGTTAATTATATATAAGCATCCCACATCTGAAAATAGCCATCTTGATATCTATGGCTGTTTTCCCTCATGATCAGACTCTTAACTCTTACTTAATAGTGTTTTTACTAGAACCGGTGGAGGCTGCAGTAGCATTGTTAGAAAAAATTCAGGGCCAGGGATGTAGCTCAGTGGCACCATACCTGCCTTGCAAGCACAAAGTCCTGAGTTTGATCCCCAGTACCAGGGGGAAAAAAATTTAGTTATGCCCAGGGTCACTAAGGCTGTATAGTGGGCCCTCACCTGATATATGAAAATATTGGATCACAACTGGAATTTTAGTTTTAACTTACCATCAAAGTCTTGAGTTACAACCCGAATGCTGTCCAGATGGTCTTAGGTACAGATTTAACCACTAAAGAGTTCTGGAAGGAACATTACAACATCCTTTCCTGTGTAGGGTTCATTGAGAAATCCTGGGCCAGTGTCTCTGTAAGAACAGAGACCTGCCTGAAAGAAAGTGTAGCCTAAAATTATACAAGAGAGAGACTCTGAAGGCTGTGCAGAGGATCCTGACCAACGTGTGTTACAACCAGCCCTCAAGAATGAAAAAAGTCAATGATCTACTGTAGTTTATAGATCCACTTAGTTACCTAGTAACAGTGGGCTGAGCTATGAACCATGGAACTCTTTCGTGTCTCATCAGTGTAGTCTTGTAGTTTGTGCCAAACATCTTCCTGAAGTGGGGATATCCACCAAGGAAGTCCTGCTGTACTTGACAAGGGGAGCAGGCCACATACCCAGCAGGACATTTGTTGTAATGATTCTGTACTCCTGTTGCTCACCTTAGAAAGGAAATGCTCTCTCCTTTAAGTGGTGAGGTGATTAGTAAAAGGGCTAAAAGTAATACCTTTGATTGATTACTTATCTGAAGGTTTTGTTTTCTTTTTGAACAAGAATTTTAAGTCTTCTATGGGTTCACAGTAGTATCTGGGTGTTGGCTCATATTCCAAGATGGTTTCTGGTTCCCAGGGCTTGAGTCAGGTGTGGTGTATCAGAGTCTAGACCCGCTACCTTGATAGTTAATTGAATCAACAGGATCACGGTGTATGGTCCTTCCCAAGTTGGTCCTACTAGGGAAGGAGATGATGAGAGGAGAGACTTTACCAGTGCTAAATCTCCTGGTTGGAATATAGGGTTTCTTCCCTCTTTAGGCTGAACTTCTGGTAGCTGTTTAAGAGTCTGTCAGAATTTAGCCAGTGAGGGGACATCTTTTAGTAAAGAATCTGTTTCCCTATTGAAGAGAAAATCATTAGTGAGGAAAGGATGTCCATAGAGCATTTCAAATAAACTGAGGCCTAGAAGTTGAGGGGTATTTAGATAAAAAAATAGAGATAGTAAGTGAGGCTGCTGGAGGTGGATCTCATGACCCATTTTGCAAAGATTTCTTTAGGGTCTCATTCTTCTTTTCTACTTTTCTTGATGATTGTGGCTTCCAGGCACAGTGAAGATGATAGAGTTGATGAAGATGCCTAGTGCCTGAGAGATGCCTGGTGTAACTGACGCTTTAACAGAAGATTCTATTATCACTCTGTCAGCTCTTAAGAAGTCCAAATTTGGGGAAACCTTTGCCACCTCCTGCACCTCTTCTGTTTTGCAAGGAAAGGCCTCCACCCAGTTTGTGAAAGTATCTACCCACCAGAAGGTGGTGAAGTTCCTTACTCTTTGGCATGAGTAAAGTCCAACTGCCAATTCTCTCCAGGCTGTTTACCATGTCTCTGCATTCCTGGAGGAGCCATGGCCTGGTTGAGAGTTCTTTTGGCAGAGCTCATATGTCTTTAACTATCTGTTGTATTCTCTGAGAAAGTCCCTTTTCTATAACTCTGAGGCCATTTGGTGGGTCTTGTCTCTCTCCAACTGAAAGGTTTGATGTAAAGACTTAATAATTTTCAATTGACTAGTGCCAGAAAGGAACAGTTTACCATCATCCGACTGTAACCATCTTGATGGGAGGAACTGACACCCATGCGGGGGGGCTACTTGACTTCTGAGAATATTTGGGTTGAGTATGATCAAGGGGCCCTTTCCAGCTCAGGGGGTTTGAAGGGGAGGCCCTCAAACAGCTTGGTTTTTTGCTGCTGCATTAGCCAGTTGATTACCTTGAGATTCTTCATCAATTCCTTTCTGGTGTCTTCTACAGGGAATAACCACCCCTTTGGAGGGTGTGTGGACAGATGATTAAAGTTCACCCATCTCCCTATGATACTTTATAGGAGATCCACTGGCTGTCAGGTAATTTCTTTCTTTCCACATGGCTGTATAGCATGCAATCCTAGGAAAGCATACTTCGAATCAGTATAAATATTGATTTTCTGTCCTTAACCGAGTTGCAAAGCCCAGGTCAGAACTACAAGTTCTGCTAGCTGAGCACTAGTCCCAGGCGCAAGTAAAGAGCTTTCAAGTGTCTGGTGTAGAGTCACTACTGCATACCCCACCTTTCTTGTGCCATTTGCCAAGAAGGAACTGCCATCACAGAAGAGGCTCAAATCAGGGTCAGTAAGCAGAGTGTCTAACAAGTCTTTCATGGCTGCATATGTATGGAGAGTCGCCTGTTTGCTGTCATGTCTCTCAGTCTCAATTTCCTCCTTTTTTGGTAGAAAGGTGGCAGGGGTTTAAGGAGGAACATATCCTTATTTGAATGGCTGGTCTGTCTAGAAGTAGGGCCTGGTATTTAAGAAGTCAATTGTCTGATAGCCATGGGCTCCCATTGGGAGAAAGAAGTCCTGCCACATTCTGAGGTGTACATACAGTGAGATCTTCGCCTAAAGTCAGCTTCGATGCCTGCGGCACTGAGAGCTCTAAGCCACAGCTCTAAGGCAAACAGGCCATCCCTTTGCTACAATGTCTAAGTCATGACTCAGGTACTCTACAGGCTACTGAGTGGGTCTCCCATCTGGTGTAAGGACTCCCAAAGCAATGCCCTGCCTTTCATCAACATACCAATTGAAACTGTGATTTATCCACAAGCTCAATGCTGGGGCATTTAAAAGCACTGGTTTGAGCTTCAGTAATGTGGTCTGTGAATCAGGTTCTCAGTTAAAAATGGGTATCTGTCTTTTGGGTTTCTTTTATAAGCTGACAGAGAGGTCACCATATCCTACTATCCACAGACGACAAAAGCTTGCAATTCCTAGGAACCCCATTAGCTACTTTAGAGTCTTAGGCTGTGAGAAGGAAAGAATTGGTTTAATTCTTTCTTTCCCTAGTCTTCTGGTTCCCTTAGATATGAGGAGGCCCAAATATTTTACCTCAAGTCTTCAAAGTTGTACCTTGGATCTACAAACCTTATAACTCCTTCTGTTAGAAAATTCAGCAGAGCATGGGTTCTTTGGCTAGACAGCTCTTCTGGGTGGCACAAACCACCTACATATTGCAAGACTATGACCCAGGTACATTCAAAACATGCCAAGACCTAGGAAAACACTTGCCCAAAGAGATGAGGACTCTCTGAATCCCAGAGGAAGCACAGTCCATGTCAGCTGAGAGGCCTGGTTTTGAGGATTTTCAAAGGCAAAAAGAAACTGGGAATCTGTGTTTAAAGGAATACAAAAGAAGGTGTCTTTTAAATCCAACACTGACACCCAACTGGCATCTTCTGGGATCTGAGAAAGGAGAGTGTATGGGTTAGGTACCACGGAGGACTGGCAGCACCACTCACTTATTAACCTAAAGTCCTGTCCCAACCTCCACTCTCCAGTGCGTCTTTTTGCAGGGGCTGTTAAGAGACTTTAAGCAAACTTTGTGCTCTTGTCAGTTTAAAAAATTTTTGTTTTACTTCAGGCCTTAGAGGATATTATCTCTGGTGAAGAAAAATAGGATTTTTGAGATGTATTTACACTAGAGTAGCTTTTATCACTCTACCTACCCTACCTGTAGCTGCCCATATTTCAGGATTTATTTTTGTCTCTACAGTGGGAAGGCAGTGTACCTGACCTTAAACAAGATAATATTTCTCACCTGGAGGGAGACTGGACTTTCAGACATAATTAAAGAATGGTTGGACCGGGGATTTAGCTCAGTGGTGCCACTTCCTGCCTCGAAAGCACAAGAGCCTGAGTTTGATCCCTGGTACAAAAAGAAAAAAAAAAAAGGAATGGGTGAAGATAAAATCATACCAGTTATAGACTAAGTACTGTGAGAAATCGAAAGTTACCTCCTTTCCAGGAACTCCTCTCACTGGTATATGGCAGCTGGAAGTAAGGCCAGGCTTAAAGGGAAGGACCAAGAGACATGCTCCAGTGTCCAACAAAGGTTGGTTTCTTTCCCCTCTATAGTCATGAATACCCAGGGCTCCTCCATGGAGATGACAGTTCAGCCGGAGGGGGGAGCAGCAGATGGGGCCCCCAGGGCCTTCAGTTTTGCTGACTCGGCTGGTCAGATGGGGCTGAGCCCCGAGGCCTTTACCTCAGAAGGCAGTCTGACTTCCAGTGGTCACCTTTGCAATTAGGTCATGGTCCAGGGGGCTTCTCAGTGTAGTCCCTTTAAAGGTGGGCTACCTTTGGGCAGTGGTAGCAGGTGGGCTTAGTCATAGAGCTCTTCTTGGAGTCAGACTTAGGGCCTATTCTTTTAAAGGCTCCTGGTAAGTCTGTTGCCTTCCCTTGATCCCTCTGTTTTCTCCTGTACCCTTCTATTCTTCACTATAAAATACCGAGGAAGCAATTTTTACAAAAGTATCAAGTGAACCATCTGGAGCAAAAGCCATCTTTTGTAACTTTTTCCTAATACCTGGGCCTGACTGTGTAATAAAACATGTCTTTGAGAACAATCTGTCCTTCTATCTAATCAGGAGCTAGGTGTATGTTTTACCAATACCTCTTGTAAGTGATCTAAGAAATAAAAGGGGTTTTCTTTTTCCTCTTGTTGAATAGTTGATAATTTAAAATAATTGAAAGGCTTGGCTCTCATCCTTCTTAGACCTTCATGAATGCACATCTGAAGATGCACCCTAGTCCAAGCTCCTGACTGGTTGGTAGACCTGTAGGGATTTTGTGTAGGGACTGCTTGGGCTCCAGTAGGAACTGGCTGTTCCCCAGGCTGTCTTCTGGTCTTCTAAAATTAACATAATGGTACTCCTCTCCAAATGCAATGGCTGCTCATACTGCTGCTTGTACCTCACTGGAAGTCAATGTTTGACTTAAAAGTAATATTATATCCTCCAGTCTAATTCCTAGGTTTGAGTAAGTCCCCTAAAGACATCAATGTACTTATCAGGGTTGTCTGAAAATTTTCCTAGGCCTTGCTTGATCTGAGGTCACTGAGAGAAAAGGGCATGTAGACACAAGCATATCTAAATTTGCTATTTACTTCTTGTAAGGGATATTGTAATTGAGAAGCTTGAACAAAATTAGCTACAGAGGGACATACTCCAGTAGTGGCTTCAGTTATGGCTGGACTAGAAGCCTCACCCCTAAACTCTAAAGGGTAAGGACGAGGGATCTCAGGGCAAGTGGGGAAAGCCTTAAACTCCCT